CATGTTAGCTGAGGCTTCAGTGGCTGATGATTCATAAAACCATAATTAACAAAAGTGTATTGCATTTGTATTTGTTGTGGCACATACACACATTGTGATCGGAGCAGATATTTCTGAATAAACTGTTGAAATAAAGCAAGTGTTTTCTTTACTCCCCAGATGATCACTTCCATCTCAGTTAAAAAAACATACGCACAGCATAGACTCTGCAGGGAGTGTGTAGTGATGGAGATTAAAGGACTAAACACAGATGGCTTTCATATGTCCTGCTACAAAGAGACAGGGCGGAGCCTGGGTTGCCAGGGGAGATGGTACCTCAGACTACAGGCTCATGAATATAAAGCAGGGAGGGGTAACATCAGAATCAGAATACCTTTATTAGTCTCACAGAGGGGAAATTTGCAGCGTTACAGCAGGACAGAGCCACAGACAGCTTAGTGTTGCATATCTTACATGCGTTAAAAAAAGTACTAAGTTATAATATAATAAACAATATGCTAAAAAACATGCTTTCATTTCTGCTCTCAGTCTGCATGTGTGAATGAACTGGTCCAGGTTTAGTAACAGGAAGTTGGCTTCAGGCCACAGGGAGACCCCATTTTTATTTAATCCCATCAGCTTCAACTCACACTGAGCTTCATTCCCAGCTTGAGCTAATATTCAAAATCCTCCTCTTGGCACCTAATACAACCCCCACCCCCCAACCTGCAACCACCCCCATCGACACACCCCTGACTTCACCCTCCCCCATCTCCTATTCCCTATTTATCCTCCCTGATTATGGATATTTTACAGAAATGCAGGGATGACCGCGCAAAATTAAAGGATATTAAATGTAATATGATTTAACAGATAAAAAGCTGCAAAGTTTGAGGAGCAGTTTTCAAGCAGTAAAAAAGATTATATACGGACAAGCATTTATTGTGCTCCAAGATTGTAATCATTTTGGTAACACCCGTCAGGTTGAAATTCCATTTTGGTCTAATCCATGTACATACAAGCCTTAAATGTATTTTGTTTATTGCGGATTTAAAAAAGTAAGCATGATAGAAGACCAGACTAAGGTGGTGTGTACATTAAACACAGCATTTTAGCATTGTCATTGTTAGTGTAAGCATGCTAACGTTAGCATTTGACACAAAGTATTGCTAGCCTCTCAGTAGCCTCATAGATCCGCTACATACTCATTATCTACCTTCTATCGTATTAACCATCATAAAATATTGTTTTGAGCACCAAATAAACAAAGACTGCAAGTAAACAAATATAGACTAAATGTTTTTTTAAGATCATTCTGGAGCTGTTTCACCACCATCCCAAATGTATTGAAAAGTACTTTTTAGGAGCAACTACTCCATTCCCTTTGCAAATTGCATTGTGGGAGAAAAGTGTCAATCAACAGCACATTAACAACATGTCCAGTGTGAACACTACACAAGCAAATTCCTGCTTGGATTTGGAACAAGCTGTTTTTGCTTGATAAATGACATAAGGAATGATATATTATCAAAATACTGCTGTGTCCCTGTTCTTTGGCCTTCATGGTGTACGCATGGTTACTGCACCGTCAACAGAAGAAAAACAAAAGCATCGTACTTTGCATTATTACTTCCTGAAGTGAATAGTCAAGAGCTGCTGGGACACTGCACGCTGAGGCGCAGGTGGGGTTGGAAAGGTGTCCAAAAAAACAAGAGGGCTAAACATATGGTGTTTTCTGCATATGCAAGTCAGCATCACATATTCTCACTTCAATTTGTCTGCTCACACGGACACTCACACACTCAAGAGGTGCAGGATTAATCCTTTATATAGGGCCTGCATCACATCCTTTAATTGTGGCGCTCTGTGATGCTCACAATTTAGGTCTTTTGCCACAAGCTCATCATTTTCATAACACCGTACGACACTTTAAAACTAGTTCAGCTGCATGAGGTGACGAGAGCAGCTTGTTCAGGACACACTTAGCTAATGTCCTGCATAACTTTTCTGCCTTGGCGGAAGAAGGGCAGATGGATTTACCATATGGGCGACAGGAGCCATGCAGACTTTCCATCTATCTCAAACCCCCTTCATGCCATTTTCTTTTTCATCACTTTCAACTAGATCTTAACAGACGGAATTAGTGGTGCATAACAGGCCACAAATACTCTGCATTTAACAACTGATCAGTGACTTTTTCAGGTTATAACAAGAACATGACTGAGTAGAAACCCTTTTAAGTACAGTGAGTGTTACTGTTATTTTGTATATATTGATTTTTGTGTTTTTATTTAGGTCTTAATGTGTGCACATGTAAAAATGTGTCTTTGACTGTGTATATATATATATATAAATATTTGCACACATATTTTTATATACATTTTTTTTTTTTTCATATTCGGGATTGTGGAAAACGGCATTGCGATCTCTCTGTCCACACAAACTGGAAGATTGACAATAAAGTTGAAATTGACTTTGAAGTAGAGATTGCCTTTTAGAAATACCTTAAATATGTGCTGTGTGTGTGTTGATACCATAGGTTGATATATGGGAATACACTAGAAGTACTAAGGTTTTTGAAATCGAGAGAAAAGACACACCGAGAGGAGCCCAGAGACGCAGAGGGGGAGAGGCAGTCAGGGTGGACCGAGCACCGCAGGGAGCACACATCCAGAGCTCAGCGCTGACAAACTGACAGCCGCTGGGCTCAAGGCAGCGCTGTCTCACTGGCATTATCATGCAGACAAGATACCCACACCTAAAATGCCACAATCAAAATTGGCACTGGAGCTACGTGCCCAATAGTCTCCAAAAACTAGCCGGTACTTCCCCAGCAGTACATGGAGTTATGTTTTATATAATTTACATTACCTGAGAAGTATGTAACAGGAAATAAAAAAGTTGAAAGGTCAACCTGGAGAGCAAATGTTCAGTGGTGGAACAAGTATGTACTAATGCAAACGTTTTGATATAACAATGTAAATGTCCCGCATTCAGTAAGTATATTGTTTTCAGCAGAATTTGCCAACGTATCAACAGAAAAATACTAAACAGGCAGAACAATGTGTCCAGGTAAGTGTTTTCTATCGTATAGCATTTGTATTGGACTATTCATAATAATACTGTAATGTGTATGTCATATTTTACCACTGGATCTGTGGAGCAAATAAAATGTTTATTCTGTGGGGTATCAAATATGTTGAGTATGATACAAATATTTTCTTTCAAACATTGACGTTGGCTATACATGGAGAAAAAGCCAGTTACTTGTAAATTGGGAATCGATCAGTCTTAAAATAGGGCTTTTGGTATTAGAGGGCATTTCGAATGTAGTACATGATGACCGTCGGTTAATGCTCTCTTTTTTAGCTTTGTATATGTGCTACCACAAGATGTCTTGCTGACTCTTTAATATTTGATGTGCAGCTGTAAATTGGCAAATGTTTGTCCCGACATTTATAAAAATATCTCAGTTAAACTCTAGAGGAGAATCTCCTCCAAAAGTGATTTGCATTCTACGTCACTGTGCCTGTGTGAATGGCCCAAAAAAGGCTAAGATACTATATCTCTGAAGGCGAGGGCTGCAGAATATTTTTATCTCCCTCTCTCTCTCTCTCTCTCTCTCTCTCATCGCTTGAATAATTCAGTCTTTCCAGAAAACGCTTGAGAGGAATGACGGAGGCAGAGAGGAGAGGAAGAGGAGGCCAGAAAGGGAGGGAGTTGAAGAAGAAGTGGAAGGCGTTTTGTTTATTATTATTTTTCTTGATTTTCTATGTCTTTAACTTAAACTGTATTATATTTTTTGTAAATTGTGATATAATAACTGCTCTTACAAACCAATTAGTTCCTCTTCTTTTCAATGACAATCCAATGACATTAAATGTTGTGTTTTTGCTCAACTCCACTGCTTCTTTTTGATCCCTTTCTTCTAAGTTTAACACTCCTCTTTTCAGCCCTACAGTTTGATCCTACATCCATCCATTCTCTTTATCTCCTCTCCTATCCACTTAACGCTGTTCGCACTAAACACTGTCATATGGGAATGAACCTTAAGTAGCTGTGTGCCAGACAGTCCCTACCAACACCTAAAAGTGCACATACACACCTCCACACACACACGGAAGGACGAAAGCACAGAGGCAAACCCCTGACCTCTCTTATCTCTTCCCTTTCGCCCCTTCGATTAACACCACACACTCTTCTTCTGGATGTTTTAATTAGAGCAGAAACGAAGCACACGCACAGTATCAGCAGCTTGTCCTGTCACCCTCATGCTCAAAGCATCTTTAGAGAATCTCAGATCTTCCCATTCATGCAGACCATAATGCCTGGCTGTAATTGTTTTTATCTAATTGGCTGTAGGCTTTTCTACCGTCTGCAGACTTTGTGACCCGAGCCCTGAGGGTCACACTCAGAGAAAAAGTGAAATCCATCATCTGTAACTGATTCTGATTTTATCTCAACCTTTTCTCAGGACAATAACTGACCCGTATGAATCCTGTAATACCAGGACAATTATTCTTTCCACTTATAATAGAGACATAAACCGGGTAGTGATTTCTAGTTGGGGTATGTGTACCTCAGGAGGTACAGTGACGTAGCTCAGCTAATTTTAAAAAGTGACAATCTTGATTTGAATATAAAGTATATCCACAAATTTGCGCTTGGAAGGAAAACAAGTACACAAATCATAAGGTCTGAGTGCAGATGCAAACTTGACAATCCTCCTGGTTAACCACCTTACCAAGCCTTAACATCGTAAATAAAGGATAACTACATTTGTTTTCATAATACTATCCCTAGCTTCGAGACTTGGATAAAAGCTAGGGATGTTGCTGTCATGTGACATAGGCCATCAAAACCTTTAGTAGAACTACATGTTGTATGCAAAAATGAGGTAACAATATCTGAGCACAGAAATTACAACAAATCTAGCTGAATATGAAAGCATGAAAGAAGGGGGAATTGATCAAACATCAGCAGTGTACAAACATACATACATTTAAGTGTTGAGTACTCACATTGCTGCTTCCCTGTCCTCCAGGTTCGATCATATAGGTGTGATTGCCGTCAAAAAACATCCCACTGAAAGAGAGATAGAGAGGAGAGCACATATCAACACCGCTGTTGTTTTGTTCATCACAAAAAGAAGAATGCATCTGAATTAAACTCCTCTTCAGCCATTGTTATGTGTAACATTGGCCATTTCAGTTTTGGCCCATGGTTGTTTTTTGCAACATTTGTCAGAATAATAACTGCAATGCACTCTTTCCTACATGTTGCAGTTTGGGACAGAATCCTCTGCTGTGCTGCTCTGTTTGACATGTGCACGGCTGAGGAGGGGTGGTGACAAAAGGTCATCCAGTCAGCTCAGATATTCCCCCCACACAGCATCACTTAAAGGTCACCTAAGGATTCCATCTCTGGAGCAATAACTAAGAGCATAAACGGAATGACCACAAATTGCAATGACACTTGTAAAAGGGTTCAGCAGAAAATCTGTGCAAAGTCCTGGTGATACTCAATGAAGCATTTAATGAGTTGACATGAAAAACTCTTTGTATCACATACAGTAGGAGAGGAAGTGGACAAGCAATCATTTAAGAATTCAAAAATCTATTTCCAACTATAGGCAGCTGGGTGAAGGTGTTCTTGTCTCTGCCCGCCTGCGTGTGTACAAAACATAAAAGCCTCCTGCGTTAATTAACTTTATCTGAAGCTTTTAGGAGATTGGTCGGGTCAAACTGTACAGCCATGAGGGGGAAAACCGTCTGTCTTTCTCTTCCAACTACCTTTTCTCTACCTCTTTCTGGCCTTCAACACACACAATAACCTTCAGCACACACTCTCTGTAACGATCCAACACGGCACTTACAGCAGATTAAACACAGAGTGGAACACAGGTCAAAGTGTATTTTAATTATTAGTGTTTATTTTCCCTGTGTTGTTTTTTTATACCCTTTCAATATAGTTTGTCACTGCAAATCAGAATTGAGCAACATGAAAAATAAGTATTTTAATGTAGTTATTAATAAAAGAAACAAGATGCTGATTTTACTATGTTTTTTATGCATTTCTTGGCAAGCCAAAACAAACACTGGTCATTCTGCTGAGAAAATACGGGCACATTTTACAATACTACCACTGTTTTTTGAACTTTAAAGGACTTTAAAGGAGCCATTTCCCAAATCTGATTGGATTTTACATGACCCAATTATTTGTATACCAAAGTTGCAACAATTATGGTTCTCGTCAAACAAGAAATATGTGTATTTGTGTTTAAGTTCTAGAGTTTCATCTCATAGTTTAGCTGTTCATCCTTTTTGGTTTAATCAGGATTGAAATCTACCTAATTTTCACATGTAGCAACATCGTAAGTGTCCCAAATGGTCCCTGTTGTTGTTGTTCTGGATGAATTTGATTTTAACATCTGCAAACATTTAAAATTTTCTGGGAAATTATGTAAACTTCAGGCTGCTAATTTCTTTAATTTCATGTAGCTAATGTAAAACACATGGAGAATGTGCCAAACAGGAACCTGCGTCAATAATTAACTCTCTGCTGAGAGCTCTATGCTGATTTACACGGTTAATACCCTATTGTATTTCAGGGTAAAATGTATATATGTGTGTGTGTGTGTGTGCGTGCGTGCGTGCGTGCGTGCTTGCGTGCGTGCGTGCTTGCGTGCGTGCGTGCGTGCGTGTGTGTGTACTCTGTATAAGAGACAGAGAAAGATGAGAGAGCAGGATGTATATTATTGTAAATACCTGACTCAGCATAAGGGAAATACTCTGCCTCTAATGTCTAACCCCTCGACACCACTGTGCACTCCCTCAACTCCCTCCCTTTTACTGGCTCTCACACACGGACACACACAATCACACAAATTAGTGTGTGCAGGGCATACTATGAATGTGTCTCCGTCTCCGTTATAATGTCAGCGTATGCATATATTTCCACATTAAGAAAATCAGAAATAAAAAAAAATAAAAACTGTGGATCTCATTGAAATAAATCTATAACTGAAATACTACAGCTTCTAATACCAATGCAACAAACAATAACAAATACATACTATACATGACAGCAGTATTATTACTACACTAATGTTGTATCATTTAATGTTGTATTTGGACTAACTAGAAGTCACGCATTAACATTTAGCCCGTTTAGTCTATAACCTCATGTCATGATGTACTGCATGTGCAACGCATTTACCTTGTCATGACTTGATTAATTCATAGCCTACGTTTCATTTTCTTTGTGTGCAACGCTACAACGCTAATTTGCTGAGCTGACACATTTCCCAACATGTTGCCACAATCACATGAAATATGCAACGTTATTAAAAGCCTGACCCGACCCGAGTGTAGCTTACTCAGCGATCATCAATCTGATGTCACCCATTTACATTAATTACATGCGTTTACTTCTCTGCACTGATGATTTTGTTTATTTAGCCTGATGTTATGTTGAATGAAAATATATTGGACTGAATTAAGCTTTGATGTGACATAATGGATCGAGACAGATGAATAATATTTCCAGTAACAAGTAAAAGGGATAACAAGATTAAATAGTTTTATTCTGCCAACAGTTTGCAGAGGTGATGGGTTACAAAGCTTAGATTGCTATTCACATCAAACCCTAAATGTGCTCGGAAAACTATTACAAAGCCTGCCACTCAACACTCTTTGTTTTCCTAGGAAAATTAATGTTGCGCAATCTGAAAATGTTCAGTCAATCAAGCATAATGAAACAATCCATGAACACAGATTATTGCTAGTGAATAAGCAGTAGATAAAACCAACAAGGAGCTTCTTCGAGCACTGATTTCCATATTTTTCTTACAGATAGCGATAGTACAATAAATGTGTCTTTCTTATATGTTGCAATAACTTTTTACACCTTAATAATTATTGTAAAAAGAGCAAGGGTAACAAAATAACACATAGCGGGTTAAATGTCTGAGGTTTGTCCAAAGTAGAGTTAATGTTCCTTTTTATGGAATGGGAAAATAATGTTTGCTTTCAGGAATTGTGAGGAAGCAACTGTGAAAAACTGTAATTCATGCGCATGTGTCATACCTGATTATTCATAGGTGCCTCTTATGCAAGTGTTGTATTGTCCGCAGACAATGACATTCAACACCACACAATACACCTGCCTCTCATCTCTTCGTATATACAGTATGCGCACACACCCTATAACACATACTAACTCATATACAGTGTGCATCCATTCCTCCCTGCAGGCCTTGTTTCTGACCCGTCTCTCTGCTTCAGAGTAAAAACTCTAAAAATACCAAGGTTGCGTTCCAATAGTCCATTTAGCTTAGGAACCTTCCTAACCAAGTGAAATGACCCGGAAGTACGTCAGTGGCAGCCATGTTAAGTGCCGTTCCAATTCTCCAAATGAAAGGAAAGGAGGTTTCAAACTTCCTTCATAACCTCCTTTAGCTTAGGACCCACTGGACCTCCCTTGACGAAAGGAGAGGAGAAAATGCTGCCCCACAATGCATTGCAGCCGCAGCATTTGCCGTCACTCAAAAGTCGGCCGTTCACGGAAACAACCGATTATGACCGAGAAATTATATCATGAACGTTACGGTGCTTATTAAGCATTTTTAAAAGTATGTGGTAACTTGCCAAAGTGCTTTGTTCTGAACGTTCATCAGTATTATAATCAAAAAGAGAAATATGAACGTTAGTTTTTACTGAAATGATCAAATAAAGTCAACATTTCACAGTCTTTACTGAGCTGTGTGGAGTTTGTTCAATTTTTAAAAGATGTTTGAATGGTGATATACACAGTGATAGGTGTTAAGGACTAACGTTTATAATGAATACATTTGTATTGATTTTAAGATATTTTCATAGTTCATAAAATCATACGTATTGGGATCATTTGTATTAATGTGGACTGGAGGGAGAGGGTGACGAGCATAAGTTTCACTTTCCTTTTTTATTTCAATTCCAACTTTGGTCATGAAGAATATGTTTCTCTGTTGTCCACGTTCATAAAGCATAAACCAACAGCATCAGAGCACGGTGCAGAGTCTCTAGATCAGTTTACAGTAGTCCCTCCTTGTTATTATACATCCATGTTGTAGTCCGCTATAGAAAACTGTAGTTTCCATAGTTTCCCCACAGCAGCAGACACACATTCATGACGTCCGCTGGCGCATCATAAACACGTCGGATAGTGAAAGTGCAGTCGGATTCTCTAAAGCACCGCAGTCTCTTCTCCTAAGTCCTTTAGAATTCTCCTATCCACTATCCCTTAACCCCGTGACGTTTCACTCAGAGGTCAAGGAAAAGACGATAGGGTTAGACGTTAGGAGCTGATTTTTGGACTATTCAACTGCAACCCTGAACACAGTGTCTGCTTTCCTTAAAGAAGGTTTTTAGTTTGGTAGTATTTGTGTTTAGTTAAGGTCTGCAGTAAACTATGAATAGACTTGAAAAAGAGTTGCATCTCAAAGGTTTAGTTTACCTTCAGGTACTGCAGGCAAGAAGCTCGAATGGCATCAACGGTCAAGTCCGAGCGAGCAAAGCCCACGAAATATGTCTGCTCAGGGAGGAGGCCGTCTCTGAACAGCCACCTGGGAGAGAGCAGAGAACATTATGCTCACAACTTCAGAAGCTACACCTCATATTATCTTTCCTTAGACGTTGCAGTTCTACTAAGTATTTCCCTGGGGTCAATGGAGGTTCACTCACCATAGAGTTGGGTAGATTTTCTTCTTAGCCAGATCCCCCTGCAGGTGCAAAAAAACAATCAGAAATAGGATTTGTAGGTCAGGAACAGTCATTAAGTGGTAATGCTGTGCTTTGGAGTCAGCATGCAGCTTATTTAAGCAGTGCACTTTGCCAGAGCGGTAATTATTTTCCATGACACAAAAGTCTCAAGATGCTGCAGCACAACAGCTTAAACCATCTGGCGACAGGTAAGTAGGCTGCTTTGGCTTATTTAGGAATTGCACAACTTTAGTAATCCCACAGAGAGCAAGCAGACGTGTGGAGACGTGTTTATTACACTTGATTTGACATGTTTATATTTTACTGTTTTTTCTTCTT